TCTCTCTCTCTCTCTCTCTCTCTCTCTCTCTCTCTCTCTCTCTCTCTCTCTCTCTCTCTCTCTCTCTCTCTCTCTCTCTCTCTCTCTCTCTCTCTCTCTCTCTCTCTCTCTCTCTCTCTCTCTCTCTCTCTCTCCTCTCTCTCTCTCTCTCATCTCTCTCTCTCTCTCTCTCTCTCTCTCTCTCTCTCTCTCTCTCTCTCTTCTCTCTCTCTCTCTCTCTCTCTCTCTCTCTCTCCTCTCTCTCTCCCCCTCGGGATCACCCCCGAACCGCTTCTTGGGCACCGTCGGTGCAGCCTTGGAGCTCTGTATGTGGTTCCCCTTGGGGCTATCGGTGTGTCATCTAACAGGTGACGTGAGGCGTCGGAAGATCATATGACGCGAACAGGCGGAAACGCCTAGCACCATGACTTTCATTCAGGGCGCGAAGCATTAGACTAGTAGTAGGAGGAGGAGGAGGAGCAGCAGCAGTAGCAGGAGGACAATGATGAGGAGGCGTGGTGAAGAAGGAAGAGGAGGATGAGGAGGGGGGGGGAGGAGGGGGGAGGACGGGGGAAGGATGAGGAAGATGAGGGTGAGGAGGAGGAGGAGGAGGAGGAGGAGGAGGAAAAGGAGCCTGCGGTATCACACCGCAATGCTCATCGCATAATCAACTTGCGTTGTTGCGCGCAGTTTTTTCTGCAATCAATGCGCGCCCCTCGATCCGTCGGGCCCTGGCGGGCCTCGCGCTCGCAGTGCGCCAGCTCAGTCAAGGCCCGTGTGTGGGCCGCGTCCGCATCATCTTTGTCGAGCAGCGCGTTCGCCCGCGCTTCCTTGCTCCTCGCAAACTCCCTGGACATCGCCTCTGCCTATCGGGCGGCGACGACCGAACGGCGGCGCGGGGGCGGGGGGCGGGGGAGGGGGCGCGCGGGGCGGGAGGGAATGGCGCGACCGATATGGCCATTGAATAGGGGGGGGGGGGGGGGGGGGGGGGGGGGGGCGGGCTCGAGGGCACGCCCTGGGGGGAGAGGGGGGCATCGAGAGGCCCTGCGCGGTCCGAAAGCAATGTGTTGCTGTGAACTATAGATCACCCGTCTTCTTCTCAGCTGGCGTCGCTGTCGCTTTGGTCCGCTTCGCCGCCGTCTTGGCAATCTTCACTGCCTGCTTGCTTTCCTGTCTGGCCTCCCGCAACTCAAATCGCACCTGCGCCTCCATCGCGAGCATCTTCGCTGATTTTCCCATGGGCGCGTGAACCGCAGATGGGGAGCGCGCGTGCCACGCGTGAACAGTTTTGCAAAGGTGGGCGAGTGAACCACAAATGCTACTGACGGTTTGCCAAACGTTCGGCCCCGACATCGTTGGCGACATGTAGCATAGGCGTGGTCGACTGGGGGGCGCGAGAGATGTGAACAGAAGGAGGGTTGGGATACTGAGGTGGCTGAGGGTGGACATGCAGCGGCAATGCCTTCTCGCGACGTCGGTGTGGCTGGGGGGGGGGGGGGGGCCTGAGTGGGCAGTGATGTGTGACCATCTGATTAGCACTCATGTCATGCGACCGCGTCGCAGCCGAGTTGGTTGAGAGTTGAGAGCACGCAGCTCGTCAGCTGCGGCGCAGCCGTGGGCGAGGGGGGGCCGTGGAGGAGGGGGGGGGCGCAGCTGCAAGCGATGGGGGAGGCCCCGCATGACCCGCGAGGCGGCGGCCGTCGGGCTGACCTGGCCCCGCTCCCTCTCCCATCGAGGCGGCGGCCAGCGACCCCCCGCCCATCGGCAAACCCCGCGAGTGGACTCCAGGGTTCTCTTCGCCCCTGACGGGGCGACTCCGACGTCACCTTGGCAAGCCCCCGACTCCTTGTCGTTCGTGGAGTCGGCAACCCGTCCCTGGGGGAGTGGCCCGCAGGGGCGTCTACGATGCCGGTGGAGGAGCGCGCGCTGACCCAGCCACCCCCGGGAGACGGAGCTCGGCAGAGGCCTGCGGAACTTGGTGAGGGAGCTTGGCCGCGCCAGCGAGTACTCGGAGGATTCATGTGGGGCGGCCAAGGGCACGCTGGCGAGCATCGGCAGGGTCGGGGAGCAACTTGTCTTTGTGGCAGGGGGCTGCGAAAACTTGACGGTCACGCTCTGTCCAGGGTTCCTCGGCAGGGACGCCTTCCGCGGGCTGCGCTCCATCGGTCAGAACTCGCGGCTGCTCTCGCTCCATGAAGTTTCCGACGGACATCGCGGACTCTGTCGCGTACGCATACGTGGCCTTTCAGCGCAGCGGATGAGACCATGTGCACCTGCCGGACTACTGCCTGAGTTGCGCCAACTTTCCCAAGACCTCCGAGCCGGACATGGACAACGCCGTCCCCCTGAAGGACTACAAGTTGGAGGCCAGGCCGATGCGCGCCTCGACGCTTGTGCAATGGTTTCAGGACGCCAAGCGGGAATCTTGGGCTTGGTCGTGCTTCCATGGCCGAGAGCACTTCGACAAGCAGATGCAGGCGGCAGAGGATCTCCTCAAACTGAACGGCGGGGCAAACTACGCTTGGCCGCCAAAGATGATCTTCGATGAGCTTCGGGGGAGGTGGTGCGAGGAGTTGCGGGTGACGAGGGCCAAGATGCGGGAGCTGATGGGCGACGAGATCCCGACCTGGGGCACGATTCGGTTTGTGTACACCTCTCCCCTCAGCGCGGGCGACATGTCGCCCTGGCCGCGGATGCCGAACACCTGCAGCCTGGAGGGCCCGGCGCAGTTCTTCATGACGGACATCAAGGCACGTCGCCACAGCAAGCGACAGCGAGCACAATGGCAGATGGCGCCGAGGTCCACCGCAGCCCCCCCCCTCAGCCGCCTTCGGGCCCAGGGCGCCTCAAGGCGGGAGCAGGGGAGCGTCGGGGCGGCGGCGGATGAGGCGGCGGCGGAGGCGGCGGCTCTGGAGGTGGCGGGGCTCCTTTGCGAGGCGCTTCACCGCAAGGAGGCGGCGGCGGGGGGGGCGGCCATGGTGGGGCAAGGCTTCTTGGTGATGCGCTCTCCCGCAAAGAGTTCACCAGGGGCCTGGGCCACAGACCCAAGTCTCCGGGTCCCCGACGGGCGGCGAGACCATCTGCTGGGATAGTTCGATCTGGAGAGGGTGTCAGAACACTACATGCCCGCATTCTCACAGGTCCGTCGGCACGCTGGGGCTCCTGGACTGGTCGGACCAGATGCAGCTCATCAAGCGAGGGGCCTCCAAGGGGGGGCCCAAGGTGAGTTCGCGCGCCGAGGTAGACCAGACGATCCGCTTGTTCAGGAAGCAGTGTGAGGCAGGGGAGGCCTCCAAGCGCTCGCTGGCGAAAGCGGGCGAGCAGCCCGCGGGACGCCCAGAGGCTGCAGGTTCGAAGGCCAACGGCAAGAAAACCGGCGGGTGTGCGGTGGAGGAGAGCTGGCGGGAGAAGCCAGGACCCGTTCAGCAAGACCAGGCGGAGGAGGTCGAGTCGGGACAGCGGGATCGAGCAGGACAGGCGCAGGAGGGCTGGGCGGAGGCACCCGAGGAGCTCAAAGCGTTCAACCCGACGCACTTGGAGGAGCACCTGCGCCTCACCATGCAGAGCCCGGATGCCAAGTGGCAGGCGAAGCAGCAGCGCGTCCCGTTGCGCGAGTCGGCGCTGGAGCTCGCGAGGCGCAAAGTGATCGTGCACGAGATCGACGCCGCCCCCGAGCTGGTGCACGTCGCGTCGGTTGAAAGCCTACCTTCTGGGCTGCTACCTCCGCAACACGGTCCCAGCGCTGACTTCCGCGCCAAGCAGGGGGCTGGCCTGCGCAGGGCCAAGGAGAAAGACATCCTGCTGGTCACGGCGTGCTACGAGATGGCCCAGTATGTTTGCTGCTACGCGGGCCGTATGGAGGCTGGCCTGGCGAAGGGCCCCCAGGATACCGACGGTCTCATCTCCATGGAAGTTATAGACTTTGGAGAGTGGCCTGACTCCGAGGAGGCCCTGGGAGGCCCGGCGGCGCCTTCCGGGCCCCTGGCGGTCTCAGCGGCTGACCCAGCAGGCCACAGGGGCGGCGCCTGGCCGCTCTCCCGCTCGGCTCCTTCGGGGCCGCGAGGCTGGGCTGCCAGCGGGCGCAGCGGCGGCCAGGGCCCCAGGAGGGGGCGAGGTGGCCTGCGGGTGCGCGCCGGCCAACAGAGTCCATGCGCGCCACGGCCGGGCGGCGGCCGCTGCCAGAGCAGGTGCTCGCCGCGCACGGGTTTCGCCCGTGAGGCGGAGGCCCTGCGGCTCGGGCACACGGGCCTTGAGCGCCAGCAGGCGGCCCGCCCGAAAGGCGGAGGTCGGCGACTGCTCACGGGGACGCCAGCGCGACGGGCGGGTAAGAGCTGCTCGCGCGTCCAGGGCTGGCCGCGCGGAGGGCGGCTGGGCGGTCCTGCCCTGCCGCGGGACACCGCGAGCCACCGCCGGACGGACGGACGGACCAGCGGGCGGGGGAGAATCATTTGTATTGACTTCGCCCTGGCAGCGGCAGACACCACAGGACACCACGGGACACCGCGGGACACCGCGAGCCACCGCCAGACGGGCGGGCGGGGGAGAATCATTTGTCTTGACTTCGCCCTAGCAGCGGCGGACACCACGAGACACCACGGGACACCACGGGACACCGCGGGACACCGCGAGCCACCGCTGGACGAGCGGGCGGGGGATAATCATTTGTCTTGACTTCGCCCTAGCAACGGCGGGTTCATTCCTCTCGCGCGCCCACGCAGCTCCGCCTCGCCCGCACGCACGACACGAACGAAACGAAACGATTTCCCGGTTGGGGGTCTCCGTTCCGCTGCGATCTCTCCCCCCGACCTCCGAAACTGTCGGAGGTCCGCGCCGATTTCTTAGATTAGCGCAAGACCCTCCCTGGCGCGCGGCGCGCGCCGTGGGCGGCGCCAGAGGCGCCCCCAGGGGGGCCCAAAGCCGATCCAACGAATCCGCGGGGAACGCCGACAATTAATGTTTATGCCGATTGTTCTTCTGCGGACCTGAAGGAGGCCGCCCGCAGCCCGCGCGCGGCGAGGGTCCAGGAGCACCGCGTGCACAAAATTCTCCTGGGGCGCGCGCTGCCGACGCGCGCCAGCGGGGCGCCCCCGCGCCCTCCGCTCGCGCGACCGCCCCGGTCGTCTGTCCTGTTTTCTGGCTCTCGGCTGCATCCCGACAGCGGTCACACGGCCACAGCGTGCTCCCCTGGATAGGCACGTCGGAGCAATCTCCCCCCTCCTGCTCCTCCTCCCCCGCGCTCCTACCCCCCCCTCCTCCTCCTCCTCCTCCTCCTCCTCCTCCTCCTCCTCCTCCTCCTCCTCCTCCATTCTTTTTCCTGATACATAACTTCTCCCTGTCGCACCCCGAGCCCAGTTTTTAGGGCGAGCCGGGCGTTTCGCCTGAAACTTCCTCACCATTTGTGACAATGAAGCTTGCATCGGCAACAGTTTCGCAGATGGAGGGCGGGTGGTTTTCAACATGTGGCTTTGCCCCAGCGCCGCGCACATTCGTCATCAAAATTTGCAAGAGCTTCACGGATTGAGGGCGACCCGTTTTTTTAATGTGGCCCTCGCCTTAGCGACGCGCACAAACGTCTTCAACAGATGCAATGATCTCACGGATTGAAGGCGACCCGTTTTCAAAATGTGGATCTCGCCCTATCGCTGCGCACATTCGTTTTGAACATTTGCAGCGAGTTTCACGGATTGGAGGCGGTTCCTTTTCAAAATGTGGTTCTCGCCTTGGCGCCGCGCGAATTCGTTTATGCAGCTTGTAAGAGTTTCGCAGATTCCCATGGTCAACTTGCCAGAAATGGTGTTTTGGAAAGATTCAGGATTACGCGGGTGCAACAATTTCTTGGGCTCGCGGTGTTGAAGTCCCAGGAATGGTGTTTTGGCGCGCTTCAGGATCGCCACGACGCAACAGTCATGTTGATCCGTGGCGTTGACATCCCGAAAACAATGTTTTGGCATGCTTCAAAGTCTTCAAACGGTTGTCTTCCAAAGAGGCAGTTCACTCAGTGGAAATGAATCCTTGTAGGGGCCTATGAAGAGGGTGCTTTGAGGAAGGGTTTACAGGTCCTGCTCCTCCACCTCCTCCTCCTCCTCCTCCTCCTCCTCCCTCTTCCCTCCTCCTCCTCCCTCCTCCCTCCTCTTCCTCCTCCTCCTCCTCCTCCTCCTCCTCCGCCTCCTCCGCCTCCTCCTCCCCCTCCTCCTCCTCCTCCTTCCTCCCTCCTCTCCTCCCTCCTCCCTCCTCCCTCCTCCTCCTCCTCCTCCTCCCTCCTCCTCCTCCCTCCTCCCTCCTCCCTCCTCCTTCCTCCTCCCTCCTCCCTCCTCTTTCCGCTTTCCGCTCCTCTGACGGTGGCCCCAACGGAACCACCGCAATCCACAGTACCACCACGCTAGCGCCGAGCGAAAGTGTCGGTCCAGAGCGCACCATGCACTCCAACCGAGAAAAACTCCGCTAATCCGAATCCTCCCAGCAGATGCCCCGTCTTTCGGCCATGACCTCGTAAAGCCCCCGAACCCAGCCGACCCGGCGAGGGTGCAAAGGAGGAACTACGGGGCTAGACCGAGGGATGGGCTGCTTTGAGGTGGGGTCCTTACCTTGCTTCAGCTCCTTAAGGGCTCTGGCTCTGCCGTCGGTCGGGTGCTCCAGACAGGGCTCGGCGAGGCCCTCCTCCTTCCTCCTCCCTCCTCCCTCCTCCCTCCTCCTCCTCCTCCTCCTCCCTCCTCCTCCTCCGCCTCTCCTCCTCCTCCTCCTCCTCCCCTCCTCCCTCCCCTCCCTCCTCCCTCCTCCCTCCTCCCTCCTCCCTCCTCCCTCCTCCCTCCTCCCTCCTCCCTCCTCCCTCCTCCCTCCTCCTCCTCCCTCCTCCTCTCCTCCTCCTCCCTCCTCCCTCCTCCTCCTCCTCCTCCCTCCCTCCCTCCTCCCTCCTCCCTCCTCCTCCTCCTCCTCCTCCTCCTCCTCCTCCTCCTCCTCCTCCTCCTCCTCCTCCTCCTCCTCCTCCTCCTCCTCCCTCCTCCTCCTCCTCCTCCTCCTCCTCCTCCTCCTCCTCCTCCTCCTCCTCCTCCTCCTCCTCCTCCTCCCCCTCTGCCGTTGGAGTTCCCGCGCGCCCGCTACGTGGGTGGCCACTGGGGCTGAGGTGCGCGTGAGGCCGCCTTCGCTGCGTCATGCCCCCCAGCGTTTCGCACATTTTCTGGCCGCCAACCCGAAACTGTTCTCCGCCTCCTCGTCCAGCGGCGCACCCGCTGCTCCGGGTGCATGGCGGCACGCTCTAGCAAGGCTGGATGCAGACGGGAGCGCCTGCGCCCAAGGCTTTCTGAGGCTGGCCCAGCACACGAGCACGCTGCGAGCAGCACGTCCAACCGCACTCAACAGGACCACGGGCCCAAGAGCTTGTGTGCGGGCTGGTGGCGAGGTGGGCAGAATGTGCCCGCCCCCAATCTTCGAGCCTCACTTGAAGATCGTTCTGGATCTAGTTCGTGGCAGTGTAGGGTACGCAGTTTAGTGCAGGCGGGGTGGGCGAGATCGCAGCAGCGCTTCCCCACCTCCGCAGCCATTTGACCCAGAGGCCCCACAGAGGGCCGTGCTAGCAGCACGCATTGTGCACTGTACACGCGCTGGGTCCAGGACGCACGTCATCGTGCGGCGAGTTGGGCCTGCTCTTGCGCCCGAAGTGTGGCCAGCCTGCGCGGATCAGTCGGCTGCTCGCCCCAGAGCTCGTGGCCGCCCAGATGGCCAGGCCACCGGCGAGGGCGGGCCCTCCCCTCGTGTTCCTCACTCCTCTACAATTACTCAATATGAATACTATTCTCCCTCTTCCCCCGATGGCGGCCTGAAAGTAGCCGATCACCCCCCGCGTCCTGCTTTTTTACACACAGGATTCCCGGGAATTGGGTTTTCGCCTGCATCTTTTTTCAAAATGCTGCTCTCGCCGAGGCGCCGGCCTCATTTTCGGGCCCCGCTCGTTCCGAATCGTGCTCCCGCTGCAACGCTGGCCTCATTTCCGTGCTTCCGCTCGTTCCGAATCGTGCTCCCGCTGCAGCGCTGGCCTCATTTCCGCGCTTCCGCCCGTTTCGACTCGTGCTCCCGCTGCTGGCGTTCCCCCCCATCCTCCCTCCCCACCTAGCCCACCTCCCTCCCCTGTCCGTCCTCCCTCCCCCCTTTCCCATCCGTCCTCCCTTCGCCCTTTCCCTCACCCCTCCTCCCTCCCCCGTCCGCTCCCCCTCCGCGATATCTGGGGCTGGCTGGCCGCCATGCGCCGCTGGTTCGGCCGTGCTCCCGCGCGCAGTCGGGATCCTCACGGCTTTGTCGTGCCGGTTGCCAACGATGCGAGCATCGAGCACAGTCGACGCCATGTGCGACCAAGGAGTATGAGGAAGCCCAAGAGGCTTGGGTCGGCTTTCGATTCCCAAGCTCGGCGCGTAGCCACTGGCGTGTCCGAGGCCACCGCGGGGGCAGGCCGACGCTGCGCCCGCCTCCGCACCCCGCTTCCCGTCCTCTCGGTCAGGTCGAAGCGCTCGTTGCCCACCTCAGCGCCGATCTTAGCAACACCAGCGGCGACGACCTGTCCATGAAGAGCAGCCTGCGCCCTGGCGACCTCGCCGGCGTCCTTCAAGACAAGGCGAACCCTGCCTCCCACCTGGCCGTTGAGCTCCACAAGCAAATGCTCGTGCTCCCCGTGCGGGAGCGCCTTGGCCTCCGGCTTCGCAGAGATGGCGAGCCCCGTAGCCGATGCCAAATGTCGCATAAGTAGGGTCATGATCTCTTGCTCCCCATGCCCGAGCTCCCTGCGGATGGTGATGTCCGTGAGGTGGTCCATGGCAGCGGGCTCCTTGTGCGCCTTCTTGCGAACGGGGGTCAAAGCCCTGGCGGTGGCCGAGGGAGTGGCGACAGGGCGGCCGCCTCTCGAGGGCTTCCAACGCAGCCGCGAGGCGGCGCTCACTCGGTCGGCAGCGAGGACGCGGTCCGTCGTGTCGACCCACGCGTCGCCAGCAGCGTCGGAGAGCACCAGCCCCGACTCTTGCTGAGCACAAGCATCTGCGTGCACAAAGGCCAGAAGCATGCCAAGCCCATCGCGGTGCTGATGTCCAGCATTTGCGGGGCCGAGTCGGCGCAAAGCGCCAACGAGCCGTAAGAAGTCGTAGGGGGCAGGCGGGGGCGGAGCACCTGCACCACGAGGCTCTTGTCCAGCTCCGCGTAGTGCTTGGGGGAGGTCGCGTCGATGCACACCCGTGGGACGGGGTTACGCCAGATGAGGCCCTGAGTTTCGCGGGACTGCAGCATCCCAGCGAGATGCACCACGTGCTCGATCCAGATGTCGAATGCCATGGGAGTGACGTCGTCGACCTTGAGGAGGGGTGGGCGGTAGTGGAGCATCGCCAGAGAGGCCCTGGCCCTCTCGGAAGCTATCGTGAAGATCGCCAGGCCCATCTTGACGTGACGTAGGGCCGCTGGATCCGCCATTCTCATCTCCAAGGGTTGGTCTGGGAACGCGCCGCGACGGACTAACGGAGCCCAGCTGTCCCCAAGAAAGGGACACCACCATCTGTCCAGGAGGTTCTCGACAACTTGCGCACCGAGGCCACGAACCGGAGAGCTGCTGGCCTAGGGCCAGCAGCGACCCCGCGGAGCAGCGACGCTTGGCAGCTTGAGGTGGCGTTGCCGTTTTGGGGGGATTAGGCGACCACGTGTTGACCGCCGACTCGTGTCCATCTGTCGTTGTCCCCCTTCTCCATCATCGTCGCCATTGCACGGGTCGTGGCCGAGCCCCTACGGCTCGCCTGCGGTGGGGCCAGAATGCCTGCCCACTGCGTGAGGAGCCACGCATCCTGGCAAGGGGTTTGGTTGCGGACCAATTTTGTCTTAGGACTTAAATTACACAACTGTATGCCGTTTTCTCCCGGGCGGCGAGGGCCTCGGCAGTGGGCTTGGGGCCGTCGTAGAGCGCGAAGCTGAGGGTCTTCCAAAGGTCTCCAGACTCCGCCGCATAAACGAGCTTAGTCCAGAATCCCGTTAGGGAAATCCAGTGCCGACGGTTCTGCACGACCATCTCCGTCGGTCCGTGGGC